TAGATGTATAATGACAGGGAGAATAATAACACATGTAATCTGGAAAAAGGTTTGAGATTATTAGCTGGGTATAATACCAGAAATCATGGTATCCACAAAAGAATTATATCATACTAGAAATCTTCTTTATTTCTGATTATATATTCGACACAACCTCTATAATATGTTTAACATTACATCCAAGAACATCGATTCTTTGAAGGTTACGGCTGGGACTATTATACTATAATATATTATGTCCCAGATTACGGACATCCCGGCCTATTGGTATAATGAAAAAGTTACGGACAAGTTGTTTTCAAGTTACGGACATCCTAAGTGTTTTCGCAAACCTTGCTGATCGTTTATTCTTTAATATTAAATCACCTTTTGCGTTTAGGAGTTTCCCTAAAAGATTGATACAACTTTTTAATTCCTGAATATTTGTGTTGTATTCATGGTATTGTTATTATATAGGAGAGAAGTTTCTTACCGACTCCAGGCAGCTCCATCTTGGTCTGTGGGTTAACCACAGCCGTTTAAGGTAGCACTCCACAGTTAGGTGTGTAGTTTCGCATTTTGGCCCCTGTGGATTTTTCAAATATGATAGCTAGTGTAGAATAAAATTCATTTTTGGATAGCTGAAGATTAAAATAGCCTTCATAGTGGGTTTATAGGAACATCAAGATTATGTAATGTATGTAATATGGGCTGTTTTCTGTATGACAGTCCGTATTTTCATATCCATACCAAATATTGGTCCGGCAATTATTGTAATGTTTTTTTCCGACTTTTTGTCGCACGAACTTTGCAATTAAATTTTATGAAAAAATGAGGCGAAAGACACCCATTTTTTATTTGATCATTTGGTAGATTTATATCAACAGTTTCTGAAAAGGTATCACTGAAAGGCATTGAAATTCTACTTTGAACCAAATTTTGGGGGAATATGTGACATTTTTGCCCCCCTTTTTGCAATATTTTATGGTAAATAAATGCAGAATGTTGCCATGGATACACAAAAAAGGAATTATTTTTCACCATTTTAACTTTTAAAAATCAAATCTATGGAAGATACTGATAACATACATATGCACATGTATAACACAAACAGTTAGGTTAATGTATTAGAAAGCCAGGAATAGAAGATGATAAAACATTTTGTGGTTCAATTTTAATGTTTTTTTCTAACTGTGGAGTGCTACCTAAGCAAAAAAAGATAACGATCCTGTGATACCTTATGTCAGCATTGTCTGTTATCTGTGTTTTACTCCTGAAATCAATGGCATGTAACCTCAAATTCTCCAATCAATGTCACTACGTTGCCAGCAGCTGTATTATGACGTCGACCTCGCCCGTTCTATCAAAGGGTTATATTTAACTGATAGATGAACAACTGGGTCCTGTTGGCATAAAATGTTTCATTGTTGTTTTTCTTGTTTTTGTTTCTTGTTTTCTTGTTTTCTTGCTGTTTTCTTGTTATTTTTTCGATCATTAGCTTGAAAACGACTACATGAACACCTCTTTTTTTAAATGACATGTAGCTTAATTCCGTAAGATTATACCAACTTTTATGAACAAATTACCTCGGATTTTTTTTAAAATAGATACTTATAAAGCAAAAATCATGAAAATTTGATAAAAATGAACTATTTCCAAAAAAATGTTTCACTTATGTAAAGAAAATATTCCAAATGTTTAAAAACATCGTTTGTAACAAAAAAGTTAATGTCTGTCCAAAAAACCGAAATTTTGAGTAAATGTCTAAAATTTCGATCCCATTTATCTCTAAAAGAAGCACACGAACGTTAGGAAGGTATATTTTTTTTATTTATAAGTATATGAATTGACACGGTGAAAAATAGCTTGTATGCAAATTTTCGTAAAAAAATCACCGTGGGATCAAAACTATAACATATGCCCTTAAGCGGAAGAGGTGTTTTGCCTACGTCCGTCGTTCTCTTGAGATTGAGAGAAACGGATGTTTATACCTATACTGTAAAAAGACAAGTATCAATACCAAGCTCTAAATAATCCGGAGTTTAGACAAGTTGTTAATAAAGAGGTAGGGCAATTTCCCGAAGAATTTATATCATAGCAGGGCCAATTTTTAAAAAGTCAGCAAATATTCAGTAAAAGTCACTATATGACAGCTTTATATGCAAGTACTTTAAAGTTGTTACAACATTATGACCTATCTGAACTAGTGGTAAAATTTAAAAGCCTAAAAAAGGATTTAACTATACTTTTGTAGATTTTTTTTTATTCACTAAAAAAAATGGTTTAATCTTAACAAAAACTAAAATTATACTTCAAGTGAAGGTACGTAGAGATCTCATAAAACATGTTTAACCCCGCCGCATTTTTGCGCCTGTCCTAAGTCAGGAGCCTCTGGCCTTTGTTAGTCTTGTATGATTTTTAATTTTAGTTCATTTATATGTTTTGGAGTTTAGTATGATGTCCATTTTCACTGAACTAGTGCACATTGTTGTTTATGGGACAGCTGAAGCCCGTCTCCAGGTGCGGGATATTCTCGCTGTGTCGCAGACCCATTGGTGGCCTTCGGCTGTTTTCTGCTCTTTGGTCGGGTTGTTGTCTCTTTGAAACATTCCCCACTTCCATTCTCAATTTTATTGTTGTCTTACAGGTACACGTTTACCTCGTGTTGTTTTAAGATGTTCTTTAATACGACATTTGACAAAAAAAAAGTTTAATTTGCAACTGTCTTTTACACAATACATGGCACTGAGATAAAATTAGGAGATAACTGTAATGTATTTTAAGCTTGGCCTTCTTTATACGTAGATTTTACTGTCGCAAATCGAGACAACCTAGCGACGCGTAGGTTCTTATATCACCGCATCCTTTTGCCGGAAACAGTATCTGTATTGTCGATTGTCATATATTAAGACGATAGTTTTTGCTATCGTGCAACATAATTTTGTCTGTTGTTCCGATTGCATTTGTCATACATTGATCTTTTCAATCGTGTATGGCAGATGTTGAACTGTGTTAACTTTTGCATCTGCAGTACAAATCCGGTAAAAGGATATGCTCATGCGTTTTATTCTTAATTGCTACCATTGTTTCAGTACCGATACGCACAGACTGCCAGACACAAAAGATGTCATCTGTCAGTGCTTCAGTACTGGCATAATTTGTACGATAAAGATTAAGCAATGCGTCAAATTTTCAGCGTATAAATTATGTTATAAAAATAAAACCAAGGTTGCAATTCCCTCATAGACAATTTTCGGTGTCTGTAGAGGTCCGTTTTTGTATTGATGTAGTTGATGTTGGCATCCTCAGACTTTATGCATCAGACATAATTGATAACAGTCATTCCGGATACTTAGAATTTAATATACCTATTAATGCAGGTGTAAAATAAAACAATGGGGAACAAGGTAATTTCATTATTGTAAAATTGTAATAAAATTCAATATTTTTTTTCTCGTTTTAAAAAGATTGTTTACTATGGTTTTCCTTTATATGTGAATAGTAATATTGTTTAAAACAACGATTTTATCTATGTTGGGACTTTTAACCGACTTACTGTTGCTAGTTTGACACGTACAATAAACAAAAATACGTGACATACCAAATGTTGTGTCGTGGTGAATCATATCATATGGAAAATTCACGATGAAACTAAAATGCAATCAAAAAGTAAAAGATTGAAAGTTAATGCTATGTCCGTAGGGGAAAAGACGAATTACAAATAAAGCCAAACAAATTAAGATTACACTTTATAAATTTCGTGGTCCGAAGCGCGTCTGGATTAACCATCAACAAAAACTAATACTACAGAAATTCAGATAGAGCAACTCGAACACCACCAAAGCCAGGTGAATACAGATTGTTCGGAAGGATAAACAATCCCACCTTAATGTAATGTTTGGAATGTGTTATTTTATTCGGTTTTGGTTTTTCTATATCAATTAGATTTTGAATACAACAGTTTATTCCATATTGATAGAACTGTATGCCTCGTTCACACGTACATTTAATTCGAATTGAATTCGAATCGAATGCGAATCGAATTCGATAATCGCGTTCACACACTCTTCTTTTTTAATTCGAATTGATTCGAATTGGCTAAATCGCATTATCCAATTCGCATTAGAAATGCGTTTTTGTTAATACGAATTAAAAGTTAACGTCGTTAGGACAGTAAAGCGAATTTGACGCGCATTGCAATTCGAATTAGAACTTACGTTTGGACGTTAAACGTTTCGAATGCGAATTAAACTAATTCGAATTAGTTAATGCGAATCGAATTCGAATTACGTGTGAACGCAGAATAAGTAGGGTTTTCCAAATGAATTGGATTTTGAATAAATAAGCATCTTCACCTGTGGATAAAAGTATATTCACCGCGCGAAACGTCGCGTGCGTTTACGTGAATTATTATGTTGAAATCGTTTAAAATACAATTGGTTTTGATAAAAAAGTTTCATTACATACATTTATCTCGGTACTCTCTCGGATTATGGAATAAACAATTACTGTCTTTTGTTTCGGTAAATATGTGGTTTAATTGACTTTTGACAAACTGATATTCACTTCGGCCGCTGGCCTCAGTGAATATCAGTTTTTCAAAAGTCAATAAAACCACATATTTACCTCATCAAAAGACAATAATTGTATAATATTCACCTGAGGAAAAAGTATATTCACCGCGCAAAACGTCGCGTGCTTTTACGTGTATAATTGTGGTCAAGGATTTGTATCTCACTATACAAATCCTTGTTGTGGTGAAATAGTTTGATGTACAATTGGTTTTGGTAAATAATTGTCATTAATTACATATTCTCTCACAGAATACGGAATAAAACAATTACTGTCTTTTGGTGAGGTAAATATGTGGTTATTTTGACTTTCGAAAAACTGATATTCACTAACAAAAGACAGTAGTTGTATGATATTTTATCACGGGTATTTCTGTGGAAAACCAGTTCATTTATTTACAGCGCATATGAAATATTTCCTGTTCTTTTCTTCATCTGACAAAAGACGAATTTTAACACATACATCAATAGAAATAGGAAATACAACTGACAGTTACGGGGCTGAACATATCCTCTTTCAATACATACTATTTACAGAAGCAGTTTTTGAGGTATTGATAATATATTCTTTTTAAATTCAATTTAAGTACATTAATTTACCTTTATTAATTATTGATTTATTTCTGAAACGTAAAATTTATTATCATAATTTTATCATAGTTACTTTTATTATTATAATTATATGAGTTCTGTTTTGAATACAGTTGGCAATGTTAATTTAAAACTATTTATCAACGAAGAAAACTATAAAAAAAATCATATCACACAAGATCTTTGAAGGCAATTTTGTTTATTAAATTTAATAATTACGATTAAAAGTTAATTTTGAAAGCTTGATTTTTTTAAACGAAAAGAAGTTAATCTTTGCTTAAACATTTAGATTATGAAAAGACTAAACATAAAGAAAATGTAGAGCTCTTTTCGTGCACTGATTTTCAGATATTTTATTTATCCCAAAGCATGATAATATTTCCCCAAACTACCAATTTTCAACTGCTTAGTTACAATTGTCCTATTGAGTATACCGATCTGCTCACAATGACTTACATTTTTTATATAAAATATAGTCTCCGTGAAAAATTATTTTTTTCGAGTTATATCTGTTCATGTTAAAATGAACGGAAAATTGTACAAAACTTAATATCAATCAAAAGACTTATATATTTTCTTAACTATAATTAGTTAAGATAGTTTTTATTATTAAACATAAATTATAGATAGTCCTGTCGATGAATTCATTTTAGTAGTAATGTTTTGCCTAAATGACATTTATTCAAAAGAGTAAATCTGTGATGCAAATCCTTGGATTGTGTTGGTATATATTTGTTCTCTTCGATTTTCTGTTGCGTAGCGGAAAAAAAGTGAGGTTTGTAGATAACAAATATGTTCGCCTAGCAGCTCTAATACCGGTTGTTCTCTTCGTTTGTAACTTTTAGAGGAAAAAAAATGATTGATTATATTACTGTGTTTTTTTGCAAGTTGTTGTCGTTGCTACTTTAACTGGAACGTGTTTTTGTGAATTTCTTATCACCTACGATCCTCCGGAGAACGTGCCAAACACTGAAGAATTCCATTTGGAAGGGAGATATTTATCACCAGTTTCCCACTGCTATGCACGATCAATGGCAAACATAATGTCACCTAATTTTCCTGTTAACATTTATTTCACTGTAAGAAAATGTATTGTTACTATCTGCGAAAATTATTTTTTTGTCTCGCCTGTGACTTTTTTAATACATCAATAAGTATAAAAAAGAAGATGTGGTATGATTGCCAATGAGACAACTCTCCACAAGAGACCAAATGACACAGAAATTAACAACTATAGGTCACCATACGGCCTTCAACAATGAGCAAAGCACATACCGCACAGTTAGCTATAAAAGGCCCCGAAATGACAATGTAAAACAATTCAAACGAGAAAACTAACGGCCTAATTTATGTACAAAAAATGAACGAAAAACAAATATTTAACACATAAACAAACAGCAACCACTGAATTACAGGCTCTTGACTTGGGACAGGCACATACATACAGAATGTGGCAGGGTTAAACATGTTAGCGGGATCCCAACCCTCCCCATAACCTGGGACAGTGGTGTGACAGTACATCATAAGAACGAACTATAAAAATCAGTTGAAAGAGGCTTAACTCATCAGATGGATAAAAATACAAATACATTGTACTACAATTACATGAGGACGTGACCGGGTACTTGTACATCCAAACAACAAAAAGACACTAAGTACAGATCTGAGAGTACTCGCAGTTATACTGACAGCTAGTTCAAAGCCACTAACAACTAATAAAAAAATCATGCATCTAAGACTAAATTATCAATCCGTACACATCCAACATCCAGTGGATTTAGTGTAAAGACATCATAAACAGTCAGAGAAAAACATAACCTTGTGCAATGCCAAGATACAGGTATCGACAGATTGTAGATCCATGAATGTGTATATGTATATAACAATACTATTTAGTTTGCTTTTAATTTACTGATAACAAAATCAATATCAGTACCAATAAGACAATATTTAATGATCTAATTACAGTGTTGAATTGGTAACCTTTTAGAATAAGTTTATTTAAAGGATCGATAAGTTTACCAGGATCGTTTCTAAATTTCCGGGCACGGTAAACAATATTGCCGTAAAAATGAGGATGTGCAATCCCGTTTGAAATAAGTTTTCTACAGGTACAACCAAACTTCAAAACCAAATCTTTATATCTGTGGAAGAATTTAGTAAAGGTTTTAAGTAATTTGTGGTAACGAAATCCCTGGCTTAATAATTTACCAGTAATACATAGATTAAGTTCGTTAAAATCAAAAACGTCACAACAGACACGTGCATAGCGAACGAGTTGTGAAATATAAACACCGTAAGATGTTGCCAAAGGAACATCACCATCCAAAAAGGGAAAATCAACAATAGGGAACGAAAAATCGTCCCTTTTGTCGTAAATTTTAGTGTGGAGTTTCCCGTGTAAAACCGAAATATCTAAATCTAGGAAAGGACAGTTGTTACCGTTTAAATTTGATTTATTTAAAGTAAGTTCCTTTGGGTAAATTTCGGCAGTATATTGAGAAAATTCTTGATTATTTAACGAAAAAATATCATCAAGGTAACGGTAAGTGTTGTTGAATTTATCAATTGAATGCAATTTAGACGGGTCTTTACAGAGTTTGGTCATAAACCGTGATTCATAACAGTAAAAAAACAAGTCTGCTATTAAAGGGGCGCAATTAGTGCCCATAGAAATACCTACAACCTATCGATAAACTTTGCTGCCGAAACGTACATAAATATTATCAAGGAGAAAATTAACAGCTTCAATCATCTCATCACACCTCCAGTAAGTATATCTAGCATGTTTACCTTTCTCATTAGAGAAGAAGGCTTTAAATGAGTTGCAGCAAATATATTTGCATTCAGATTTACCGAACGACCATTTAATTAAATAGTCAAATTTTTGTTTGATAAGATTGTGTGGAAGTGTAGTGTAAAGAGTAGAAAAGTCAAAACTGTCAACAGAATTTAAAGGACCATCAAAAGCACGCAATTTATCTAAAACATCCAAAGAATTTTTCCCACTCCAAAAATAGTTAATTCCACTATTTTCATATATTTTATTACTATAGTTTATGATAAGCTCTTTGATAGTAGTTAAGGAACTTGTTAAAAGCACTGAAAGATTAGTTGTGGAACACTTACTAGAGGCCGAGATGAAACGATATTTTACTGTTTTTTTGTGTAGTTTAGGTAACCAATACATAGTAGGGACCTTTAAATGTTCAGAAGAAGCCTTAAGCTGTGATGTGGTTATGATATGTTTGTTAACTATATGACTCTCTGTGGGGCGCATGGATTTGAATGTAGATGAATTTAAAATTTCATTCTTAAGAACGTCCGTGTAATATTTACGGCATACCACCACCACATTGTTGGCTGCTTTGTCGGCCGGTACAAACACAAACTGCTTTGAAAGTTCTTGAAGTTTATTTCTTATTCTGGAAATAGGCGTATTATGTACTCTATTATTTTCAAAATGTGATATTCTATTATCTACCACATTCATACATTTATTTAAATAAGAATCAAGAGATTTTTTATCAGATTTTTCCCGTTTACACCAATTTTTACAAAACGAGGAAAGAGCATCTTTGGTGACCTGCGGACACTGTTTCCAATCTATTTTAGATGGAGGACGATATTTTGGTCCTTTATTCAAAAAGTTTTTAACCTCTCTGTCCTGAACGATATTGAGGTCCCCCGTAATAACATGACCATAGGGAACATATCTAAACTTCGACGACTCACAGTTTCAAGTTAAAGGAGTATTATTTTCTACATTGACGTCTGATGTTACCGGCGTATAATTAAAAATTAAACTTCTGCTGGGTTTTTTGTATGTGTATGAAATAATAGGTGGTTCTGTGTTATCAAAATAAGCCACATCAAATTAATTTCTAGTTCTTCGAACTCTTTTCTTAAAGAAGGGTAGCGAGCGAGCGAAATTTTTTTTATTTGTTTTTTTGTATTTTTTACTAGCGAGCGATATTATTTTTGAAATATTAAAAAAATAAAATTTATGAAAAGCATTTTATGCAAGCGAACGATCATAAATTTACACAGTTTTGGTGCTTCATGTTTTTATATATCTCATATCCTAGTTCTAATATTACCCTACTTTGCTTCTCAATTTGTTCTCAGACACCCTATTGAATCTTTTCACAATATTCCCAGTACAAAAATGGTTAACTAGTAGCAAAACCTACAGCTTCGTGTAGTCTGCTCAAATAAAGATCCTGCTGAATAAGAAATAGTACAACAGCTTTGCATGTTTGGTGTAAGTTATAATTGATGCATTATAAAAATAAGGAGATGTGGTATGCTTGCCAATGAGACAACTACATGTATCCACCAAAGTTCAAATGCAATCAGAAAACCCATACCGTATTTACCGGCTATAAAAGGCCCTGACATGAAAAATATTAAACAATTCATTGAGAAAATTAATGGCCTAATTTATAACAAAAAAACAAATTTGACAGACATGAACCAACGACAACCAGTGAACTACAGGCTCCTGGCTTAGGACAGGCACATATAGAATGGTATGTTGTTTCAAATAAACGTTTGCAAAGCATATATGCATGTATAAAGCTTTAATATATGTTTTTAAGTTTAGTGTGACGTCCATTTTCGCTGATCTAGTATCAATATTGTTTAGGAGTCAGCTGAAGCCCGCCTTCAGGTGCGGAATTTTCTTGCTGTGTTGAAGACCCATTGGTGGCCTTCGGCTGTTTTCTGCTCTTTGGTCGGGTTGTTGTCTGACACATTCCCGCTTTCCATTCTCAATTTTATTAACTATACATATTTGTGTATAAACAAGCTGAAAATTTAAAAAAGGACTGTCCTTCAAAAACCACATCAATTTATTCTACTAAGTATTCAAATGCATCACACCATATGCTATATACTAATTAAACAAAAGGAACATTTCAAGACATTCCACTTAGTCATTGTTTTGCTGAAGAATTTAATAGCAATCAAATCTTTATGTATATGGGGATACTCTCTGTGTTGAAGGCCAAACCGTGAACTTTACTGGTTGCAAACCTCAACAAATTTGGTATCCGGTGGAAGTTTCTCTCATTCAGTCACTGACAATCATACAAATTCTTATTTTTAGAAGATTTTGTAAATTGTAAAGTTGGATTGATGTGTTATATTCAATTACCACTAACACTTTCTTGACAAACTCCATGCTTTATATCCTTGTAATGATACCAGCAAATATAAGATCATATAAATAAAAGTTTCACGGAAAAAAACATTTTATTCTAAAAGATAAAAAAAAAAGTAAAAAATATATTAGTTTCATTGCGGTGCCATTTCACTGCATGAACCATCATCTTCGAGGTTCATTTTTATTCTTATGCATGTTATATTGTCATTATTTGAATCTTTCAATTCGGTGGCGTTGGTGCTTTTTGGTCTTGCACGGAGCACTTCAAACTAATCGATAAAAGAATTGTCCAAATCACACTCCACTGCTCTTTGGCTAGTCCAAATAATTATGACGTCTTGCAAGGCTATTTTAATTTTTTTCTGTGACGCCTTCCTACGAAGAAGAAAAAAAGAATGCGTCACAGAAAAAAAATACAAATAGCCTTGCAAGACGTCATAATTATTTGGACTACTCTTTGGCAGTAAGGTCTTTGCCTGCGTTTTCGTTGTAGCTACAAATATTCCATGATATCATGATATCATACTTTTGGTCATAATAACGTTGTGAATGTTAGATCTGGATCGTTTTTATGTCAATTTCCGTGTCTGTGAGGCGTTACTTTCAAACGCACAACTCAGATTAAAATTTTGGTTACTTAAATTTAGAAATGGACGCGCGTGGCTCCGTACTGGACGCGGGTTTAAAAAAAAGTACTTTTTTCTCGTCGACCTTTCACAACACGCGGGGGATCCGACGAACGAGGTATTAATTTGGCGTGGCCTAACTTTGACAAATTAGTTTACAGTTAACATTAAGTTACAGTCTGGGGTTAAAGGTTTTTAGAAACCACTATCTAATTCAAACATTCATGGAATTTTATGAGACTTATAGAATCTTTTTTAAGATCAAGAGTAAGCTTTTGGAGCAAAATTTTAAAGTAATTCCCCCCATTTTACCGTATTTTACTGATAAATGGACATATAATTTTGTAATGCACATTTACGTATAGTCTGGTCTTATAGTTTTTTTAGACATCAACAACTTTTTCAAATCCTTCATGGAAATTTACGAAACCCGGACGGAAGCTTTTCAAGGATTAATATTTAGATACAGTCTTATGTTAAAGTTTTAAAAACATTAAACACCTGTTTTAAACCTTCATGGAATTTAGGAAACTTTAACAGAAGCTTCTTTATATCTAGGAGATACAATCTAGAGTTAAAAATTGTTTCTATATTCTTAAATTTTTATCAATAAATGGACTTACTTTGTAGGTACATTCAATATTTAACATTTAGGTACAGTCTGTGGTTAAGGATTAAAAAAAATATATAACTCTGTTAAACCTTTGTGGAATTTTACAAAACTTGAAGAGAGGCTACTATATAGCCAAGAAACAGTAACAGCCGCAGGCGAGACAAAGGGTTCCGGGAAACCCTTTAGGAATTTGTTTTTGTCTTCGAAAATGATGTGCTGATTTAGCTATAATCAAATGCACAGACTTCTGACATTCTATTTGAAAACTTATTACTTTTATTTTCAGCATCTCTATCAACGAATTATGTACAGATCTATGCAGCACAGTGTACTTTTAGTACTGTTGTTTTTGGCATGTACCACCTTTTGTTCGAAATGTCCATTTGATTCTTCCTGTGATTGTATTGTGAATGCATCAACAAATTTAACATCAGCATTGTGCTCCAATAGAGGGTTGGATGCTCTTCCAAACTTTTGTAAGACTGCAAGTCTGCTAGAATCGTTCGACGCATGCAACAACAAAATTAAGCAGATACCAAACTACATCTTTTCGAACGCAAACAATTTACTTTACATGAATTTATCTGAGAACAACATTTCAGTGCTGTTTGCGAAATCATTTCACGGATTAGAAAAATTGGTAACTTTAAATCTTGAGCGGAACGGTTTGATGTATACATTAAACACCATTCCACCGACTTGCTTCAGAAATTTATATCATTTGAAATCCCTGAATTTAAAAAACAACATCGGTTTTTATCCGACTGCTCAAAGATATCCAAATTTGTCAGCTTTGTTGGAACTTGAAACTCTAGAAATTGATGGATTACCGAAGGACAGTTTTGAACAACGATTTGACACACTCAGGGAACTTAAAGTTTTGGATTTGTCAAGTAAAGATTGTTACATTAAAATCATTAGATCAGATTTTTTTCTGTCAACGCCAAATCTTCAATATATAGATATTTCACACTGTAAAGTACAAAAGATTTGGAAAAATACTTTTAGCGGTTTGAAAAATCTAACTTATCTTGATGTTTCTGATAACAAAGATTTGAAGTTTGCTGGCGTTGAAAATGTAACTTATGACTTACAGTTTACAGCTATTAAAGTACTGAAATTTAATAAAGTGCATGAAACTTTTGAGATGAACACAGAAATTGGTCGTAATACATGGAAATGTCTTCAATATACAAATATAACAGAGATGCACCTGGATAGCAATAGAATCCAACTTATCAAGACTGGAGTGCTTTCAAAACTGCCTAAAACACTTGATATATTATCAGCCGCTGACAATATGTTTTCGTTTGGAGTATACATATTGGAGGCAAAAAACCTTAACATCACCTTTATAAATGTTTCATTTCAGTTTTCCTCACATCAACCCGAGTTAGGTTCCCTAAATATACCAAGTTATAGTATAAACCGCTTGAAAAGAAACCTAAGAGTTGACTTTCCACTTCCTTTTCCAAAGAATCTTCGCATAGCTCACTTTCGGAGAAGTCAATTACAGTATGACATTCCTAGAGTGGAAATTATGGAAAACAATCTACAATACTTGGACGTCAGCAGTAACCTGCTTGCGCGCTGGAAAGGTCCAACGGTGAATTTTCATTACTTGAAACATTTGAACTTATCTAGTAATTATTGTTCTAACATATCAACATTTTTCTTCGAAGGAATGGTCAACCTGGAAAAGTTATATGTACAAAATAATTTGCTTGGGTTTAGCATTCCATTTGATGTAGATGGGCAAATCTTAAAACCGCTCAAAATTTTGCAAGCAATTGATTTTTCACAAAATAGAATACCTTTATTGCCACCCTTATTTTTCATATTTCTGGAACGATTGGAAGCGTTAAACTTACATGATAATCTCTTTGAAGATATTGATTTCAGACTAACTCAAATGAAAAACTTGTCACTTATTGACCTATCTAGAAATCGCATTCAATTCTTAGGACCTGTCGCAACTAGTCAGTTGGAATCAGTTGCACGCGATCACATGTTGTCATTGAATTTAAGTGAAAATCCGTTAATTTGTTCATGTGCTTCATTAAAATTTCTTAAATGGATGACAGAAACAAAAGTTGTTTTACTAAATCGTGAAAATTATATTTGTAAATATGAAAACGGAACAAAAACATTACTTTTAAACGTTAATAATATTTACAATAAACTGAAAAAAGATTGTTCCTCCTACCCTGGAATAATCATTGGAATAACCGGCGCCATATTTGTATCTGTTTCAATTGTCTGCTTTGGACTATTTTACAGATATCGATGGAAACTTCGTTATATCTATTACATGACTAAGAATAGGTTCCGTGGATATGTTCCAGTCATAGACCACGCAAACAAAACTTATCTCTACGACGCTTTCATTTCTTACGCCGAACAAGACTGTGGTTTTGTTCATAATGATGTCATTAAAAATTTAGAAGGAGAAGGCAACCTTAAGCTTTGTTTACACAAACGAGATTTTCTCCCAGGAAACGAGATTGCTGCAAATATAACAAGTGCGATTCACAACAGTCGTAAAACTGTCGTAATTCTAAGTCCCCATTACATAGATTCTAACTGGTGCAGGTTTGAGTTTAATATGGCAAAAATGGAAAGCATGTACACAAGAGAAAATGAAAATATACTTTTCATGGTGTTTCTAACTCATATTCCTCCCAGAGAATTGCCTTTGATGATGATGGAATTTATTGATTCAAATTCTTATATAGAATACCCAGATGATGAATTTGGGAACGTCGTATTTTGGCAAAAAATGCTGGAGGCCGTAGGCGGTTGAATTCAATAAAAATGACTGAGTTGTAAATGTCATTTAGGAATATTTGTTAATATTGTGTTTGTCTTACCAAATATTGTGTTTGTCTTACCAAATATTGTGTTTGTCTTACCAAAGTACTCATCAAAGATACTTTGTACTTTTGTAAAACTTTTCGGAATTCTGGGTCCTCAATGCTCTTCAATTTCGTACTTTATTTGGTCTTTTAACTTTTTTTATTTCGAGTGTCACTGATGAGACTTCTGTAGACGAAGACGAAACGCGCGTCTGGCGTACACCATTGAATCCTTGTATCTATGATGAGCTTATTTGTATGTGAATGTAATATCAAAAGTACTCAACTAAAAATGATAGAATTTGACATCATATCATAAAGTTGTCGACAGATGATGATGTGGGAGTCCTTTTTCTTAATATGATGGTATATCCCTATCCGTAGAGAGCAATAATATCGCTCCATCGCAAACGGAACAGTATAGCAGGGGCAGATAATAATGCATATAAAGTTAATGCTTTATTTTTGCATCGTTATTAACGGGAATTTTATTATTAAACGTCATCAAATCGGTTACGTACATTTGAAAGCATTTGCAAAGGAAAACAAACAAGCTGCATACTAGAGCAAACGAAATCATCTACGGATTGGTGAGCCATTAAATTCAAAGCAAAGGAAAGTTTACTTTTCTATCATCAAGAAGTTCCCATTATATGACAGTAATTCTTATTGCGATTTGATGTACGGAAGTGTTACATTAGGAAAACACTGCGACATAATTTAGCACCAAAAGGAAAAATGAGCTGTCAATCATTAAAAAACTTAGGTTTTTCTGTTTTACGCTAAACAAATAAGACTTTTTTTTCAATCGACGGTATCTGCTTCAAATCAATTTTATTTTTCTGTATAAATTTGTAGTTGCAAGGGAACTGTCATTAGTAGGGTGCCCAATATCCAAAAAGTCCTCTAGTTAACGAGTTTAAGTTAACGGATAACACACGGCTAATTTTTTTGCAAATTATAGGAAAATCAATATATTTTACAATCATGATTGTCGTCGTAAGTTCTCATGGTCACGATTTTCTAAATTTCGTGTTTTTACAGGGTACCCCCAGATACCGTATTGTACGTGGAATCTTTAACATGAAAAATAAAATTATTACGCTCTTTGTTCGTGGTTTAAATAGTACTTATAATATAGTTTATACATTAAATATATCATATAACACGGAAAGTATTTAAGTGATTTTAGTATAATCATTTAAGCATTTTAGTAAGACTAAAATTTTACCCGAAATTTACCACATTTTCATCGAAAGCAAAATTATAACGTGTATCATCACGATATTTTTTACTCTGATTAAAGCAATAAGACACGGTGCATGTGTGTGCCAAATTTCATGAGTGAAATGAAAGTAGTTTTGAAGAAATTAACAATTAAAAACACAAATTAAGTCAACATTTTGGCATTGATTAAACACGGATTATCCCGTGACATTAATCATTTTGTTGCTTACCTATTAGGTCATTAACAAGGACAGTGGTCACTCAATACATTTCTCATTTTTATAGCTATAAATACGTTACCATCATAAATGCTGAGTGTAACCCCAATTGCGTCATAGGAGTGTAACCCAAATTGCGTCATAGGTCAGATGGAAAATCCCGACTAAAAATAAACGTACTCTCACTGGTCCGGACATATACCCCTGTTTGCCCATATTCTCCCATTCAATTTCCATCTGCGACATCGGTCACACGTGTAAATTATTACAGATTCAACAGAGAAGTGTTTAGTCGTTTGTAAAGTTTTTTGAATAGCTTAATTGCTTTTCATATATTGTTTATATTATCGGAAATTTATTCCCTTGTTTAGTTTGAATTTCTAAACAAATTATTTGTGTTTAAATAGTCCTTACGTAAATATTCCTGGTTCGGGCTATCTCCTGGATGGGTCACTACCTTTAAGTCCCCCCAAACTACCAGTACATTGACCGGAATTTCGACAACGGTGTCTGGTAATGCTACCTATCCGACCCTTTCACAAGGTTCGGCCATGCATTTTTTTTGGGGGGGGGGTATCTACGTCAACTTCGGTGACTCACACTTTATCTAGGCCTGTTAATTCGTCGGGTACTATTGGTTCTGTCCCAGGTACAGCTATGGGCTTGAACTTGCCAGGTTCAAGACCCCCATTATCCTATTGTGGGTATATGCTTCCCAACTCGAGCACCCAACCTTTACCTTCATGGTCTCAGCCACCTTGGCCACAGTCTTACCCTTATGGTGGGTTTATGCCAAACTAACCTGGTTTTTGGCCTTATAGGGACAATTTCTATGGTCCCCCTTCTGGGGTAGCTACTGCTCCACCTTTTAGCTCCTGCTCCACCCGTAGCAGCATCTTTGACTCCTGCAGTAGCTCCTTCTACCACCGTACCTGACTCTCGAGCTCAGTCTTCTAGCTCTTCTTATGGTACTCAGGGTTCTGATCATGCATCATCTTTGGATGGTTTTCAGAAGTTACTTTTGGACTTTGATGAGTCTTTCAAGGCTGAATTTAGTACTCTATCCAGTCGTATGTCTCTACTGGAGAATGGAGTTTCTTCTCATCAACCTTCTCCAGCTAAGTCTGTAGAATATGACGAGAGGGAGGACAATGAGCTTTCTGTTTCCCCTGGGAGTCATGAAAGGGCTTTCCTCACTGATGAGGATGTTGAAAGTTCTTCCTCTCCCAAGGTATCGAAGACGGCCCCTGAGCCTTCTTCTAAGTCAGCTCAACAACCTCCCACCAAGGAGACTGAGGATCCTCCATCCTTGAAGGATCTTAGGGATAAGGTGTATACCTTGATGAGGAATGAAGCACATATCCCTTTTGCCTCTCCTTCCAAGCCGAAGAAACTTTCTTCAACTTTTGAAGCTTCCTGTGATATTTCTCAGAATACTGTGACTTCTCACAATTCTTTTCCTGAATCTGGCCATATGGCATTTGCTTTATAATTTATTAATGAAGGTATCGCTAATTCTGCTAGTGAAAAGGTTGCTAACAAAAATATCTTTGGATTTGGAATGTCATCCTTTTCTGATCAGGTTAAGTACAAGGATTTTAATATCTTTGATTCTTCACTGGGTAGACTTGTTCCCAGTTGTGACAAATCTCTTTCATCTTTATTGGAAAAAAAGCCAGTAGATGGTCTTCGTCTCACTCAACCTGTTTGGTCAAAGACTGAGAATCTCCTTCGTAGTGCTTCTCAAGTTCTTGCACAGCCGAACATTTTCTAGCTGCAACCGGACATTTGCTTAACAGCTAAGATTCGGTTGTTCCAGCAGAAGTACGATCCTTCTTACTTCAACTGGATAAAGCTCTAGGTTCATCTCAGTTGCTTTTAATGGGTTCTACTGCTAATTGCACCCTATCTAAAAGAGCAGAGTTTCTTGAAAACATTTCTGTTGCTGAGTCTTTGAAAGATTCTTTACTGAAATCTCCACTTACTGACAAGATGTTTGGTTTACCCGTACAGCGGGTTCAAGAGGAACTCAGCAAAAACCCTCCCCCAGTCAAAGGTAGTGTACAAGTTAACAATGGCAAGAGGTCGGTTAATGCTACATCTAGTTCTACTAGTACTTCTGCTTCAGGTGGTCCTCCTTCTTCTGTAAGAAAAGGAAGAATAACTACGGCAAACCGCAGAACAAATTCCGTAACTCTGGTAAAAGCTCAGGTAAGCCTTCTGGTTGTTTTAAGGGTCCCAAGAAACCTGGGCCTAGTACCTAGCTTCCCCAGGGGAAAATTTACAACAAGTTCCTCAAAAATCAATACCAGTAGGGAGGAGGTTAAGTTTTTTCCTAAATCAGTGGAAGAAAATTACCTCAGACTGTTATGTGCTGTCAATAATTCGAGGGGGATTAACACTTCAGTTCAAGAACCCACCTCCTCTGTATGCAGTTCCGATAAGTTTGTCTCATACTCAAGACCCAGTCAAGTATCAACTTCTATCAGTAGAAGTGGACACAATGTTACAAAATATGCAATAGAGATGGTGTCGCTCTGAACTCTATCTCCGGGATTTTATTCCCGTCTTTTTCTGGTTCCAAAGAAGACGGGAGCAATGAGGCCGGTCATAGACCTATCTATTCTGAACAACTTTCTTATTGTTCCCCATTTCAAAATGGAAACCAACAGATCAATCAGGACTTCAATCCTTCCAGAAATGTGGACTACTTCTCTGGATCTTTCAGATGCTTATTTCCACATTCCCATTTCCCATACTTACAGGAAATACCTTCGCTTCGTTTGGAACAACAAAGTTTTCCAGTTCAAGGCTCTCCCTTTTGGCCTGTCTACAGCCCCTTTTGGCTTTTACCAAAATCATGCAGGCAGCTATAGCTCACCTACATTCCCTGTTTATTCAGATTTATTCCTACCTGGACGATTCCCTTCTCAAGGAATTTTGCCCAATCAAATTGAGGGTTCAGACAGATTTGGTCATTAATTGTTTTCTGTCCCTAGGCTTCCTAATCTCCTGGAAAAGTCAGAGATAGTTACTTCTCAAGACTTTGTTTTCCTGGGAGAACATTTCCTAACCAATCTAGGCCTAGTTCTCCTACCAGAGGAAACATTTACAAAACTATGTCAGAAAATACATGTATTCCTGACGGTTCAATCGGTCACAGCACGTCAATTCTTGCAACTTCTGGGTCTATTGAATTCTCTGGCAGGTGTAATTCCATTGGGACGCCTTCACAATCGTCCGCTTCAGTTTTATCTGCACAAGTTATGGATTCCAGCTTCACAAGAATGGGAAGCATTGATTCCAATCACTCAGCCTTTATTTCCACATCTTCAATGGTGGTGAGTACGGGAAAATGTAATGAGGGGCCTATGTCTGTCCCCTCAAGTTCCCAGTCTAACATTATTCACAGATTCCTCCACCCTCGGTTGGGGAGCATATCTGGAGGGTCTTCCAATCTCGGGAGTCTGGAATCCAGATCTTTTGGAAGAGCAAATCAATGTATTAGAAATGAAAGCCGTTCTGCTTGCACTGAATCATTTCCAACTATCTCTAAAGAATCAGTCTGTCATTCTGGCCACGGACAACACAACAGTTGTAGCTTATCTCAAGAATCAGGGAGGAACTCATTCACCTTCTCTTTATCAGATAGCCAGAGACATTCTCCTTCTGTGTTTTCAACTCCAGGTTCATCTAGTGGTGAGACATATTGCGGGGCACCTCAATATTCTAGCCGACACTCTATCCAGATCCCTTGCTCCAGTAAACACGGAGTAGGAACTACTTCAAGTAGTTTTCAAAGCTGTGACTCTTCATTGGGGGTAACCTCAGATAGATCTGTTTGCGACCAGTCTAAATCACAAACTTTCAACATTTGTGTCTCCGGTTCCAGATCCAAAATATTTTGCGGTAGACGCAATGAGCCTATCTTGGAAAGGAATGTTCGGGTACGCCTTCCCTCCTTTCAGGTTTCTCCCCCCAGTACTTCAGAAAATAGTAGGGGAAAATTGCAAGATCATAGTTATTGCTCCAGCATGGCCGAAACAGTCTTGGTTTCCAGACCTTCTGCGCCTATCATGTGCTTGTCCTCTAGTTCTACCTCTGAGACCAGACCTTCTGTCTCAAATCAAGGGCAAGGTTCTTTATCAAAATCAAGAAAAACTTCATCTACACGCCTGGCTTCTCTTGGGGTTAGCCTCAGAAAGAGAGGTTTTTCTGAAGGAGCAACCAAGCATCTCACAGTCTGTCAGAGACTCCACTAGCATTGTCTATGATGCAAAAATGATCAATCTTCTCAGATTGGTGTAGTGAGCGGGAAATTGATCCTTTCCAAGTCACTGTATAAAAATTAGTAGACTTTCTAGTTTTTCTTTTTGAATCCAAAGGATTATGTCCCTCTACTATTAAGGGATATAGATCAGCTATTTCAAGAACTATTCATATTTCTGGTGGCCCAGATTTTGGAAACAATGAGCATATTTCTCTTTTGGTTCGTAGTTTTAGTCTTGAAAGACCAAGACGAAAAACTTTAGTTCCTAAGTGGGACCTTGGACTAGTTTTATCCTTTTTAAAACTTCCTCCTTTTGAACCAGCAGAAACAATAGATTTAAGGTTTCTTTCCTATAAATGCTGTTTTCTTTTAGCTTTAGCTTCTGGACGGAGAA